AAGCTGTCCTTTTGACTTTAAGTCTCAGATCTGTTTTTATGATCTGAAAAAAGACCTCTGGGCATGCTGTACCTGACAGTTTCAGATATCATTGTCCTCCACTTGTAATCATCCCCTCAGTGCTAACACTCAAAAGGTGTTTTACAGCTGTGGAAGAAGTAAGGATTAGATGCACATTGAACATACTATTATCTAGAACTCCTGAAAAATTATGTGAGAGCAGCTATAAGCTTCTACAGTAAAAGACTCATCTGGAAGAAGTACTTCAGAGCCCTAGGGCTTATTGAGGTACCATGTATATCTGGTGCTACTGAGTTAGATCCATTCAAAATGAACAGAATTGCTATAGCTTTCAACAGCATGCCCACATATTTTCTTTGCAGACACTCTTTAAAACAAATGGGGAAACTCTGAGTTGAGGGATTACATGTAGAACCAACCCATTTTTCTTAACTAGTCCTGCATCCTCCAGAACACCCTAAATCACCATAGCTCACTAAAATATTATTTTCAAAAAACAGAGCAAAGATTCACCCCCAGATGATGCAAAACATGACATCATTGCCTCCTACAACTACTCAGACCTCATCTTTACTCTAGAAATAATGCAGTTTGTCGCAACTTTAATTGCCATGGCTCAATGCTATGGAATTCTAGGATTTGTAGTTCGGTAGGGCACCAGAGTTCTCTGGTGGGGAAGGCAAAATATCACAAAAGTACAAGTCCCAGGATTGAATTGCATTTGAGCCATGTTAAAAGTGGTGTCAATCTGTATTATTTCTGCAGTGTGGATGAGGCCTAAGACTTCCTCAAAACAGAACAAATGTCCCAGATAAAAATTTTGAGTCACTTCTGCGTTGGCTTAAAGTTGCCAGCGTGGGCTGCTGGAGTAAGGTCATAAATTCCCATGGTGCAGTTGCCCACTCCTGCTCAAATTTAGTTATGACACAATTTGCCATTTCTTTTTCATTTTGGCCAGATTTCCCCATTGGAAAGTTCTGGAATTATTTGCCATTTATTTTTAAAGAGTGAGGAAAATAGACTGAAGCTCTCTGGTTAAGATCTCAATTGTAGCCCCTTCAAGATAAGATTGCTTTAATAGTGGGGTTTTTAGTGGGGAGAAAGTCTTCTGCCTGATGTTGTCCATATGGAGAGCTAATGTTACATTTCTGAGATGCTCGCGCCTTTAGGACTCCCCCCCCCCGAGTCTTATTTGGAAAGAACTCTGGCCATTCTGACTCCACTGGCCCCACAAAGAAAACCACAGTGTTATTTACTTATTTGTTACAGTCGCCAGAGTCTGGGATTTAACCTTTCCTTATACCTTGGTTGACAAATGCAGCAATTCAAATAAGATTGCTTGGTGCCTACATGATTTCCAATGGAAAGTGTTTTATAGCAAGTAATTATAGGCTGTTCTTGGTAGGAAAGCAAAAGGAGCCCCCACTGAAGCAGGCACAGACTTTTTCTGTTAAGCTTTCTTTCTCTGTATGTAATTATTTAAAGAGAAAACATAGGGCATCAAAGGAGCAGTATGTTGAAGCCATTGTAAAACACTTTGGCCAGAGCCAGAACTTGCCAAACCATACATATGTGTAGCTATATTGTGCTGTTCCCTTTCACATATTTTATGATCTTGTTGTGGTCGATTGTTTATAACTGAGGTTAAACAGTTATCTGTGATTTTTCCATTCCCACACTGAAAATTCCATATTGACATAGAAGGGAAATTGCCTTGAACAGGCAGCATGGGTTGCAAATACGTTCAAATAGTTTGACAGAATGAAAATCACAGTGCATTTAAAGTAGGTATCTGGCCTCAGAGAAAATACCTTTTTTTTTTTTGCTTGCATGTGGCCAACAAGGGCTTCCAATGAACGTCATGTACCTACAAGGCCATGGTAGGAATGGCATACCCTCCAAATGTCCTGATTTGGCAGAGACAGTTCCAATTAATTCTCCATCTTCTTACTTCTTCAGATGCTTCTGAAATGTCCCAGCTTCTCTCTCTTCCTCCCACATTCACCTGTCTTCCATTTACTTCAGTTGCTGCAAACTAAGGGCCTTTACAGACTGCCAGAAATAATCCAGTTTGAGTCCACTTTAACTGCCCTGGCTCAGTGCTAAGGGAATCATGGAAACTGTAGTTTATTGTGGCACCAGAGCTCTCTGACAGAGAAGGCTCAATGTCCCAGAAAAAAATACAATTCCCATGATTCCCTAGCACTGAGCCAGGGCAGTTAAAGTGGCCTCAAGCTGCATTAATTCTGGCAGTCTGTAAAGGCCCTAAGTTCAAACTGCAAAAGTAGTTTGCACTGATAGCTAAGCAGGGGTGAGATGAGGAGTGGAATCTTGCCCTTCTCAAAAGGCTCACACAAAAGCAAACTGCTGCTGTTTCTCCTACCTTGCCTTTTCTTTCTCATTAATAACTTTTGCCATCTTGACCACATTCTGTTTTGCATGGTGGCTACACATACCCAGGTTTTCATCAGTGAAATATTGGATAATATAAAATAAAGCTATGAATGAGATTTTAGCAGCTACCCAGCGTTTCAGGGAATTTTGTTTTTGTATTTTTAATTCTCCAGATTATAACTCTCTATTCTGATTGATGTAGCTTATCTTCATCCAACTGGCATCTCCCTCCTCTCCCAGATGTTGGGCTATTCTACAATAATAGAATCATAGAGACGGAAGAGACCACAAGAGCCATCCAGCCCAACTCTTTGCCATGCAAAGCATACACAAAATATCCCCAACAGATGGCCATCCAGCCTCTGTTTAAAGACCTCCAAAGAAGGAGACTCCACCACTCTCTGAGGGAGTGTGTTTCACTGTCGAACAGCTCTCACTGTCAGGAAGTTCCTCCTAATGTTGAGGTGGAATCTCTTTTCCTGTAGATTGCATCAATTCCTCTGGTCCTAGTCTTCAGAGCAGCAGAAAACAATCTTGTTCCATCCTCAAAATGACATCCCTTCAAATACTTAAACAGGGCTATCGTATCAATCTTCTCTTCTCCATGCTAAACATACCTATGTTTCTCCTCATAAGGTCTAGTTTCCAGACCCTTCACCATTTTGGATGCCCTCCTCTGGACATGCTGCAGCTTCTCAACATCCTTTTTGAATTGTGCCCAGAACTGGACACAGTATTCCAGGTGAGGCCAGACCAAAGCAGAATAGAGTGGCACTATTACTTCTCTTGATCTAAACACTATACTTCTATTGAGGTAGCCTGGAATTGCATTGACTTTTTAAACTGTTGCATCACACTGTTGACTCTAGGACTCCTAGATCCTTTTCACATGTACTGTTGTCAAGCCAGGTGTCCCCCATCCTATATTTATGCATTTCATTTTTTTTGCCCTAAGTGTAGTACCTTACATTTCTCCCTTTTATTGTTGTTATTTTGTTTTATTCTGTAACCCATTATCCTATGTGGATGATATTCAGCACTTTTGTACCAAGATGATCAAAGGTCTTGCAACAAAACCTTATGAGAAATGAGTTAGGGACCTGGATATGTTTAGCTTGGAGAAGAATCATGGAACCTTACAGATGGAAGGGGGCCATAGGCTATTGAGTCCAACTACCTGCTCAGGGCAAGAAATCCAGTTAGAGCATCCCCCACAAGTCGTTTACTAGCCTCTTTTGAAGACATCCAGAGAAAGAGACGTACCACCTCTCTACATAATTGATTCCATTGTCAAACAGCTCTTACTGTCAAGAATTTCCTTTTAATGTTCAGTCAGTGACACACTATCTTTTGCAGGTTAGCAGTTTGAGGCCCGGGTGCTACATGATGAGGTGAGCTCCTGTCACTAGTCCTAGCTTCTGAAAACTTAGCCTACTGAAAGCAAATGCAAGTAGATAAATAGGTACCACTTCGGTGGGAGGGTAATCAGCATTCTGTGTAATCATGCTGGCCACATGATCACAGAGTTGCCTCTGACAATGCTGGCTGTTTGGCTTAGTAATGGAGATGAGCACTGCCCCCTATGGTCGGACACGACTTGATAACCTTGTCAATGCCTTGTCAATATAATACCTTTACCTTTTTATATCTTTGAGATAGCAATTTTTAAATATGTTAACAGTGTGGGGAAAAACAAGTGGAAGGCATTGCTAGAATTTTACAAGACCTCCTGTTAAATTTGAAGATCAAGGCTGGCTGGCTGTACACAGACAGACACGCATTTATCTGAAAGCAATCATGGTCTCAAGCCAATGAGACCAATCAAAATTCTGAATCAGTCTTCTTCGCTTGACCTCTGGGGTCCACCATTTTGGCAGTTGCCTTGTTTCCACCATCTCTCTGTGTTGTGTTTGTTTTCCTGCCTCTCTCTGAGTTTTGCTGTCCTGTCCTATTTTCCCACACTGTGCCCTTCCTTCTTCCCCATGATGCTTCCTTCTTGCTCCAGCCTCCCAACTGCCATGATGGAAGGAGAATGTTAACAGACACATCCTGTGTTACGAGAATGATAGACTTCCTCAGCTGTTGAGGCTGTGTCTTCTCTTCTTCCCTCTGTCCACATTAGTAACTCCTTTGAACTCATCATCCTCAATGGGCTTCACAACCCTTCCCCTCCTTCCTTTTTTCTTTTCTTCTCCCACCCTCACAACCCATACTACACTAAGTAGTTAGTGTAAAAATAACAACTCCTGCAATGCATTTACAGGTCTGTAAATGTGGGATTGCAAACAGATGTGACTATATGTTATATAATATATAAGGTAAGGTAAAAGTATTTCCCATTGACAAGGTTGTCAAGTCGTGTCCAATCATAGGGGGTGGTGCTCATCTCCATTACTAAGCCCTGCATCCTGTGTTATATAATATATACTACTCACTATATATAGTGGTCATATGATATAATAATATGCCTACATTGATTATAGGCATAGTATATAAGTACAGGAATACTAAAGCTGCATATGTGTTTATGAGGGTAGGAATAATATGACGTTCTAATATATATATGACATGACATGATATGATATGATCATAGCATAGTGGTTTGAGTGCTGGACTATGACTCTGGAGACCAGGGTTTGATTCCCTGCTCACTCTGAAATCCACTGGGTGACCTTGGGCAAATCACATGCTTTAAGGCTCTGCAATGGCAAACCTCCTCTGAACAAAACTTGCCAAGATAAACCCCATGATAGATATGCCTTAAGGGATGCTGTGGCTCAAGTGGTTAAGATGCTGACTCTGTTGATTCCAAGATCGGCAGCTTGGCAGTTCAAGGCCTGGGTGCTGCATGATGGGGTGAGCTCCTGTCAGTAGTCCCAGCTTCTACCAACCTAGCAGTTTGAAAACATGCAAATGCAAGTAGATAAATAGGTACCACTTCTGTGGGAAGTGTTCTGTGCAATCATGCTGACCACATTATCACAGAATCGTCTTTGGACAATGCTGGCTCTTTGGCTTCGTAACGGAGATGAGCACCGCCCCCTACGGTCGGACATGACAGTGTGCCTTAGGTTTGTTATAAGTAGGAAATGACTTAAAGACACACAACAATAAACAACTATATATGACACTAAGGAGGGTGCAGTGGTGTGGACCACACCAGGTGACACTCCAGAGGTGACATTTGGTGGGGTAGGACACACGGGGGGGAGGGAGGCAGGTGGCTGCTTTCCGAGTCCTGTGGGGCCATGGTCTTACAGGACTGGAAAGGCCAGGAGAGGGCTGCTGGGAGGACTGAGCATGGCCCCCACCTTGCTGCCACAGTGCTATTCTGAGTGCCACAGCAGTGAGGCAGGAGGAGTGCCTTTTGGGCCCTGTCACCCAGCACCGGGTGACACCCCAGGCAGGGATGCCACTGTTGAGAATGCTGCTGGGGACATAAGCATCATGAGTTGCAGGACTCACTTTTGTGTGGGTGGCATTGCTATTGCAATCCTTGATTGATGTACTTTATCCAGTTTTTTTGTTCCATCACCTTTGTATTTTTCTGAGTTGTGTATTTTCTCTGTCCTCCCAGGTTTTACACATTTAGGATATGGCAGCTATGGCATCAGCTTAGTAGCAGCATATATCTCCCTCTTCCCCCTCTAATTGGTATATGGGATTACTTGATTGTTGCTGCTGTTATTTTGTATTGTATTTCTCCATGAAGCTGCAATGGTCCACGTAAGTGACTTTCTGATGAACTTACAAAGAAGCAGAGGACTGGAAAACTCACATCTTATTTTGAAGTAGGTTTTCTGTATCTCAGAGTTTGACTGTGAGCATGACTTGGATGAACCTCACTGCTTTTAAGAATCTGTTGTAACACCACATTGTACTCTTTGAACAATTAACATGCTGCACCTTACACTTGCGAGTATTACATGACCAGTGACCAATGGTGTGCCACAAGATTCTGTCCTGAGCCCAGTGCTGTTCAACATTTTTATCAGTGACTTGGAAGAAGGAATAGAGGGCATGTTTATAAAATTTGCAGATGAAACCAAATTAGGAGGAGTAGCTAATACCCCCAAGGGAAGGATCAAAATTCAAAATGACTTTAATAGATTGGAAAGCTGGGCCAAAACTAGCAAAATTAATTTTAACAGGGAGAAATGTAAGGTAGTACACTTAGGCAGAAAAAATGAAATGCATAGATATAGGATGGGGGACA